GAGTTGAATCATAACAATAACACCGTTTTAAGCTGAAAATCGAACGATAACGACGATGGAATGAAGCATTTGAGTTGAATCATAACAATAACACCCTTATAAGCTCAAGCATTGGACCCCTTTTGTAAGCTCAAAAAATCAAACGACAATGGCGATTCGGATTTCGATTTTTGGAATCGAATTGAAGAACAAAATCAGTGGAAGATTAAAAGGGGTTTGGAAGTGAGATGTAAATATGATCCGCAGAGAAATAGATGGAAAGAGAGATCGAAATCACAATCAGAACCAATTGAATATAATAAAATAAGGGGGGAAATGGATGGTGAGATATGGGGAATGATTACAGGACTGAGTCTTGTTGTTTCTCTCTCTAAAAATGGTGGTTGTTCTTCCTGGACATCTGCCGAATTGGGTATGATTGTGATGGCCACATGCCCATATTTCCATTCTTACATTCATCGGAAAACCAGCAACACAGAGAGCCAATCTTTTCCCGAAAATCTCTATCGGAGATATTATCACACAAAATGCTTTTTCATCTTTGCTTTTAACTTACATAATTACTCCCTCAATTAACTTAAACCTTACATAATTAGTCCTTCAATTAACTTCTACCTTACATAATTACTCCTTCAATTAACTTCAACCTTACATAATTAGTCCTTCATTTAACTTCTACCTTACATAATTAGTCCTTCAATTAACTTCTACCTTACATAATTAGTCCTTCTATTAACTTCTACCTTACATAACTAGTCCTTCGGTTAATTGCTTCTATACATCAACTATCTATAACTATTAAACATTTACACATATTCTCCTCTTGTTTTATATTTTATTGTCAATTTAGTCCATCCAAGATTTAGAATTGCAAAAGAAGTGTATGTTTGAAGACTGGTATGAAAAAGTCGGAGTCTAGCAAACTTGGGCCCAGAAGGTACGAAGGGGTCCCACATGTATCTAATTTAGTAGACAAAAATCATATATTATATCTGATATAGACCAAATCGCCCCCATATTTTTGGGGCTTTTTTGGGGCAATTTGCTCTATGTCAGATGTAATATCTGATTTTTGTCCCTCAAATCAGATACATGTGGGGTCCCTCCGTACCTTTTGGTCAAAATCGCCCCCAAAAAGTCGAATGGTCATTTTGTGAAAAAGCTCTAAAAATAGTTATTTTGTTAAGGTACAGTGTATAAAATGGTCATTTTGGTCAATTTCTTCTCCCAAAGTACTAATTAAATTATTTTTTTTGAAAATAAAAAGCCCACCAAAACATAAAAAATATTTCATAATAACAAAAGAAATCATAAAATTGGGCTCTAGATTCATTTATATCAACCTGCTTATTGGGCTAAGCACATCCCACCTTGGTCCAGACTGTCCTTTTTTTCTATTTCTTTTCCTTAATACCTATATTACCTTATAAACCAGATTTATTAAAAGTCTTAAAAACAATTTTTAATGCACAAAATACTATACATTTATACACAAAGTCGTAAAAACAGCTCATAATGCATTAAGTACTATTACTTTATGCATTCAGTCTTAGAATCTCTTAATCTACAATTAAATAACATATAGTATAAGTTACTAATGCACATTATTACCTTTTCTTTTCATTTTTCCAAGATACTTTTGACATATTTTACTCATGTCTTCACTCTCTCATACCTCTATGTCTTCTCCCCATCCCCCAAGTTGAGATTCAAACTGATGATATTCACCATTAATTATTAAAAGTTTTTTCATTCATCTCCCATTCAATTGCTCTAGAACTCTCAATCTCGTTCTCGATCTCTTGATTATTTGCTCTTGGTGCAAATTGAACACATTTGTGGAGTCGTTTAAATATGTTGGATTATAAATATATTGGATTTTAAATATATTGGACTTTAAACTGTCATACAATTTTTTTCATTGGTAGACTGTAATTGGAACCATAACTCTTATTTATTCAAATTGTATTAATATGTAAAGACCAAGTGTAACTTATATCATCGTTAAATATTCTATAATAAAATCAGTGAGACTTCAAAATCGTTAAAATTCACGGCTCCTGCCGCATTGTGCGGCAACACAACTAGTAGATTTTTGAAACCATAAATTATTTGATGGAACTTTTTTTACGGTACTCTTTAATTCGTGAGATCCTATTTGTTTTTGTGCTGGAATTCCATTCGGCATCACTCGACGCTATTTAGCGATTTGGTTCGTCCAATACGAGAACTACAGCAGGCTGGGCGTACCGGAACCGTCTAAGAAGTGTCTCAACGCACCGCAACCACTTTCTTTGAGAACCAATGCATCATGTAATACTTTATATGATTTCCTCTTCATCTATAGCTAGAATTTAATGTACTGCTTCACATATATTTGTTTCATATGTACTAAGTTCATAATGTGAAACTTTTTGGTATGTTTGTGAAACAAGAAATACACGTAGAAGGGTTTCACATTGTGAACCGAGTACATGTTAAATAAATACATTATGAAACAAATATATGTTAATCAATGCATTAAATACTATACTCAGATGAAAAAAAGATTATGTGGAACAAAACATTAAAATATTATAATTCAAAATGTGTCGGAAATTGTCATAATTTTAATGAAACGACGTCGGATAATTTGTAGAATTCTCCAAAATTTGTATATAATCGAGATTTCGATATTAAAATTTCTAAAAAAAATTATATATATATAATAATTCTCTATTTTAAATATTATAATATTAATTATATGATTAAAATATTTTATATATTTAATAAAATATCATCTATCTCTTACAGACATTTAATTTTAAAAGTTTTTATCCATGATAATAAAAAATATCATTTTGTAGGGGTTGTTTGTTTACCTCTTAATAGTTTCATTAAGAGACAGTTTTTGAATCGTTCGAGGTGAATATTGTTTGGTAAAAGAAAATTTGTCTCTTAATTGTTCTAAAACACTCTGACTGATTTTGTATCTTGGGCATCCCTTAACCATTCAGCTCCCTGATTTCATTGTAAACAATTACATAACAATTATATTTCATTTTGCACTATATCATAAGAGTCTCTTAATCATTCTGCATCTAACCATTCAACAACTGCCAAACAACTCTTTAGTCCTAAACAATTAGTTTTTTCTTCTGCTTTCTTCATTTAAGAAAATTTTTTACCGTGAAAAAAACCCAAAATCTTTGTATTCTTTACGTTTGAACCCTGTAACTCGTAGAAGACGAAGCTCTACCAGTAGAATCATTTTTTATGGTAAAAAAATAGGTACGAGATACCATGGATGAAGACTTTTCAGTAAAAAATATTTTACTGTATACAAGTACGAAACATCAAGGACATGAATCATATGTGTGGGTTTTTTTGTCCCGTTTATTTAAATTGTTTCGTCCGGTTATATCTCTCGATGTTACACGAGGATTGAGGTCCCCATGGTCCATTCATCGATCAAGAGACATGGCAAATTCATCGTCTTTACAGATTCATGGAACTATTGTAAGTTTGTCTTGTTATCCCGATGTCGTAAATACCTTTGATCGATGGTTCTCGATGATGTCGACATTTGTATTATCTCTTTGAAATCTCATCTTGTTGGTATGCCGACAAGGTGTTCGACGATATTCCCCAAAGACACCTCCATGGAAGTTGGGGATTTGCCCACTTGACAATGGCAATGGCCCAAGTAATTAATTAAGAAATACAATATCCTCATTAATTATTGTTTTGGATGTATTTAATTAATAATTTAACGCAAGTATCGTTTGGTAGATGAACAGTAGGGTGGTTTTCTAAACGAGAGGCGTTGCCCCTGGGACCTGCAAGGGGGGGCGATGCCCCCTTGAACCCCCGCCTTTTGGTCGAACCGGGATCAATCTAGTTTTATACAAGTGTACGTTCCGCACCTCCTAACTTACATAAAAAAAAAACTAAGTAAAGATCTCTTTTAGCTTTCGTATATATATTTACTCATTACACCAAATGAAACGGGTGACACTAAAATCACCAACAAGTATCACATTCTAAAAACCCCCTTTTTTACTTATGAATTTTGTGACTTCGTTTAAGAGCGCATATGTAACAACTCGTTCCATATTTATAGAAAATAAGATTTATGAGCTTTGAGGTTTGTTATTGAGTCAGTCTGTTATTTTGGGCTTTGGGGTGTTACAAATGATATCAGAGCTGATTTTTGTACCATCAATATGGTGGGGGCAAACATTGTCACAAGAAAAAACAAGAAGTTCATAGAATTCTAACAAACTTAATGGAAAGTGAGAGAAATGATTTTACTTTTATTAATTGTTACGAGTCAGATCAAACTATTATTATTTTGGGCAAATTGCATGAAAAAGTAACGTATTTTAACTTGATTCATATTTTAAGTAACGTACTTTTAGAACTTCCATTTTGATACCTAAGATGTAAATTTTTAAACATTTAAGTACCCGGTTAACTGGTTGAAACATTATTAACCGGTTATCATGCTGATGTGGTATCCAACTGAGTATTATTTACTATTCAACCCAATTTCATCCCACCACTCGCCACATCAGCATGGTAACCAGTTAATGTTTTAACGGTTACTCGGGTATTTAAATGTTTAAAATTTTATATCTTAGGTACCAAAATGAAAGTTTTGAAAGTACATTAACCAAAATATGAATCAAGTTAAAGTACATTATTTTTTCATGCAATTCGTCCTATTATTTTTTATATATATTTTTTTAAAAATAGATGTCATTTAAAAAAAAACGGGAGTTATGCCAATTTCAGACCCCAAAAACAAAGTTGAGTATAGACATAAACTGAAAAGATGTTGATGGGTTCGTTCAGTTTTTATATGAGAGTTTCGTTTTGATATATCACGTGCCTATGGGTGAATGTTAAATCGATCTTCATTAAGTA